AGGGTTTAGGGTTTAGGGTTTAGGGTTTCGGGTTTAGGGTTTAGTGTTTAGGGTTTAGGGTTTAGGGTATAGGGTTGAGGGTTTAGGGTTTAGGGTTTCGGGCTTCGGGTTTAGGGTTCAGGGGTTCCTTTCCCAGGTTGCCAGAGAGGGTTCAAGAAGGTTTCTCATATATGGGGTTCTCCTAGAGTTCTATTCCAAAAGGATTCCATCAAGGTTCTATGAGGGTTTAGGGTTTGAGGCTTTCCCAGAGCCCATACTTGAGAACTACGTGGGGGATCTTCTTACCGACAAGTCACAGATCCAATTTCTTGTCCCGTTCCAACACCCCTACATAGAAACCCTATGTTAACCTTTGTGACCGTTCGCATTGTCCCAACCCCGGACAACCTCTGTGGCCTTTGCGTGCCGCCCAGAGAGCCGCGCCAAACATCCGACAAAAATACAAAAACAAGCAAAGCACAAAACTCAAAACCCCTAAGCGCGGACAAGGAACTCCAAGCCAAAAAATCGCCGGAGAACAACCGTGAACGGTAGGACCCTACTCGGAAGCGGCCCCAAGAAGAGGAGCATCCGCTCAAGCCCCAAAAAGCCGACAAAACCTGGAAAAAAACAACCCTTTAAAACAAAACGATAACATGCCTCCAACCCTAAACCCTACACCGCAACATCGTCCTTGAAGGGATCGCCGACGGTGTCACCCTGCACGGCAGCATCGTGGGCCTCCTTGGCCTGAGAGGGTCTGAGACGTGGAGGGTACTCTCGTAGGGGTCTAGGTCTAGGGTGTTTTCTTGAGCGCCTCTTTTTCCCAACTCGCAGAGTTAGAGATCCCACTCGAGAAGGCAAAAGCTGCCAGTTTTCGACCAGTTAACACGTCACAGCTCAGAACCCCACCCTTCACGAAGGACCCTTGGTGCCGTACGAAGGACGACAGCTCTCTACAAGCTCGCCTCACGACGCAAGAGAGTATGGTTTGGTGGCGGCGGCTACGACAATGTCACCTTCGGCTTCTTCCCCCCGCACCAGGTCTCGTACACCGACGATAGATACCGAGCACACCAGTTTGATGGCTGCGGCGCTCGCGACCCGCACCCAAGAATTTAGGGTTTAGGGTTTAGGGTTCAGGGTTTAGGGTATGTATGTATGTATGTATGTATGCATGCATGCGTGCATGTATGCATGTATGCATGTATGCATGTATGCATGTATGCATGAAGATATGTATGTATGCATGTATGTATGTATGTATGTATGTATGTATGTATGTACGTAAATATGTAACTATGTATGTTTGCGTATGTATGTAGACATGTATATAACTCTATACCTATATGTATATATGTAT